TCAAGAATTCCTCCTCTGCCTCTCACATGAGAGTAACTGCATCTCCAGAGCCACTGCGTCTCACTAAACTGCTCAGGTCCTCCTGCTTCGCAAACTCCCGAACCCTTCTCTACGTGATTTCTACGTGATTTCCACCTCTTCCCTCTGGCCGAGCTTCTCGCAAGACCAAAATCCTCTGCTGGCAGTCCTGTCGTAAATTTTCGGCCCTCGCTCGATGATTGTTCCCCCCCCGTCTCGTCGAACCGCACAACCTGCGGTGCGAATCCAGTCGATCAAAGTTTCCACTGCTCACCGAATCTGTCGTGATTCGGCTGCCTGTGATGCGACCTGGCTCCGCTGTTTGTGAATGCCAAACTCCTCTTCTTCGTCGCTGGCCGCGAAAACCTTTACGCGGACACCTCTAGCGAAGAAGTATGGATCTTCCCACAGACGACGCCAATTGTTGTGAGATATGTACTTCCTGACATAGAAATGAGACGAAAAAGAACACAAGCAAACACAGATCGTTTACGTGGTTCGATCCAACTGGATCTACGTCCACGGAAGGGAATCAATCAAATAGTTCACTAAGGCAAAAGAAATGGAGAATACATAGCTTATACATAGAGAAGAGCCCTCATCTTCCTTCTATGGCCTCCCTCTCAAGCGACACCTTGCTACAAGGCCTCAAGATGCTCTCCTCCCCTCTAGCTCTCTAGCTATTCTCTCCTCCTTTGTGGTAGCTTAAGATATCTTCTCCCTTGCTCTCATAAGTCTCACATCCTTAAGATTTCTTCCCTTGCTCTCCTAAGCCTCACACCCTCTCTATTTATAGAAGCAAGAGAGTGGTAGGTGGGAGGTAGGTGAGCGGTAGGTGAGCGTTAGGTGAACGATTGGAGAGATGTGGTAGGTGAGCAGTACCACATTACAAAAGTGCCATTTTACCTTAGTTCATTAATTGGGGGTCAAAATAACAAGTTTAAATTTGAGTTGAAAGTAAATATAAAACATGTTTATTTCTATGAAAATAAAAGCCAGTTGACAATACATTATCATAGAAAATTATTTTATCGTAGTGTGAGTTCCTTATTATTTTTTTGTTAAATACATTCAAGGTTGAAATTGAGTTAATGACCGGAGTAAAACATATAAAACTCAAATTATTATTGTATGGGGCGATAAGACATCATAGCGTTAACCCATAGATGCATGTAAGATCAGTTTGGGGCAGCGATTTTGTGGCGGTGCGGCACCACACCACAGTTTTGTCTATTTGGGTAAACTGTGTTTTAATAGTTTTTTTCAAAAAGTTGCCACTGAAATCTGCATTTTCCCACCGCTCCTGGCTAGGTGCGGTGGCAGCTTTCTAGCAGCAGTCTGGATTTAAAAAAAAAAATTGTAATAGTCATCACAATTTTTTGAGTAACAGATTATTATTCAGCAGCTTCACGATTACTTTTTAATAAGTTGCAAATACTTCAAATAGACACATAGTCATCAGTCACAAGAACAAGTGATTTAAAGATATATCTTGCCCTACATTTTTTTTAGTAAGCATATTGTAGATGCCCATTTTTTTTTCTTTTATTGGTGGTGGTTAGTCTTACTCTACATTTTAAAATTTACGAACCATTTAAAGGACATTGTACTTGATTTTTACTTGAAAAGTTCATCCATTGAATTAATTCTTCAAGATTTTTATAGTCATGAGTCCACTTGGGTGTGGTGCAGATAGGTTGCTCAGAGTTTGAAATAAGAACTTAATGACTTCTGAAGGAGGAAGAGTGAGGGAGTCATCAGAGTTTGCTATAGCTATTTATTCCTAAGCGTGTTGAGCAATTACACCTCTATATTAAATAAAAATAATTTATATTTAGAACAATCATTTTAAGAAGTATTATATTTAAAATTATTTTAATAAGCAAATTCCTATTTAGTTAAGATTATTTTGAATTTTTCACTAATTAGTAGCAATGTTTTTCCTGAAATGATTGTTTATTTTCAAAGATGACTTTTATGTTATAGTTCACTAAAAAAATTTTAGCGTGATCAAACACTACATCACAAAAACTCGTTCTTTAAAAGTTATTGTAGAAGGGACTTACCTCGAGATAGGGAATGGTTTTACTTAGATACTTCCAAAAATTTACAAGGATAAGAACTTATAAAAAGAATATAAGGGAATGATTCCCAATTAAATTGATTTGCCCCTCTAACAAAATAAATTTCTTATCTTCCTCAACAAAGATACTTTTCATGGCGAGTGTTCCTTAAGAATGCCTTTATTTGAATTTACATAATTCTAAATAGAGGTCAAATTAGATTTTATGTTTGAACTTTGACCATTAAGTATTCAACATTTTGTGAAGAAAGGAAATGTTGTCAAGTTCTTCAGGCTCTAAAGAAGTAAGACTGAGTTTTGTGATTATATTTCTACTTAGCCAAAGCTGAAGCATTCTCCTTCTCAACACTTGCATTCACCCCTAAAGGCAAGTCAACTCATCTAATCAAATGACCGTCTCTTGTTTGGAAAAGCCTCTACCATTGAAGCTACTTGCTTGGCCCATACTTTACATACCTTTTATGAATTTTCTTATCTTTGAGTCAACCATAATAAGTCCACTATTCAGTTCTCTAAATCAATTACTGATGCTCTTAAATATTAATGCAGCAGTATCCTAGAATTCCAGGAAAGAAAGACTCCCATGGCACTACTTAGGGATTATTTTAAATTCCTCTAAACCTAGTAGTATAACTTGCCATAACCTTTTGGAGATGGTCAACCACTATTTGAGTGGATGGAAGCAAAAACTATTAAGCTTCTTAAGTAGCCTTCAACTTATTAAATCTAAAATTTGGAATTTTTTGATTTACTGGTTTGAATCTACTTGCATTTTTAAGATTATTAAAAAGCATATTTTTCTCCTTTGATGAACAATTTCCTTCATCACCATAGCTCTTTTAGGACAACATATACTATTGACCGGTATTGCACTATGCTTAGGCCTTTTTGGTGGATTGGGCCTTTCTAATCTATAAACTATTAATTTCGTATACAAAGAAAAAGTCATTTGAAAATTTTATAATGGAAATTCTAATCTTTTCAATTGGTGTGGTTTTAAGATTAGCTCCCTTTGGTACAAAAGGAGAATTCTTTTGGAAGGGGTTTTTGCTTATTACAACTAGAATTAAAGAATGTCTTACTTTTCTTGTTAATAAAGATAGTAAGCTCTTCTTCTTTTTTATTCTTGGTTAAGAGAGCTTTTTCCCTGCTTGAGAGGTATGGAAACAAGATTTCTCTTGGTTCAATTGAATTAAAAAAATCATGAATATTGATGTTATTTAAGATAGCTGTTGGAATCTTCCCTCCTGACAGAACACTCCCATGGATTGTATATAGCCCATTACGAAAATACACTTGAGAGAGGTTGGACCTAATTATATTTGGCTAAAAAATGATTTATTTTTGTAACCTCTGTTTTTTTTTGGTACACCTAAATGCTTCTTTATCTTCCTTTTGGAGTGATAAAAGGTGCATTTTGAACTTGGATTATCATCTTTGAGCGTTTTTGTATATGGAGTAGAACTCAACATATGGACTTCAACCTGATTTGTTTTTAGGATGGAATTCACATTTGGTTTTTTTTTTTTTTTTTTTTTTATGAGCTGCGAAGAAGTATACAACTTAAAGAAAAGGCTCAACCAATTAAATGGTTTCTGATGTTTCTGCTGATCTCTTGGAAAAAAAAGATACCACGCTTTATTGGATTTGGATTTTATAGCTTTAGTTGCTACCCATGATGCCTCTACCGGTTTGTATAGTGTCTCTGATACCATGAACTCTGCCTTCTTTAGCCTAGATGACGCCACATCTTTGACATTTGTTTTTTTTTTTTTTTGAACTCTTCTTACATTTTTTATCTTGTTTTTTTTTATTGCTTCCTTTTATTTATCTTGTTTATGGGGTCTTATAAGATTCTTTCTTCCAATAGCCCACACTTTCTATAGGCTTTGTTTGAGAGGGCAGTACAGTTCTGTCCTGATTCAAAAAATGCCAACAAAATGTATCACATCTGTTTGATATAGAAATGTAGCCGAAAGTTCTTTGAACAAACTGTTATTTTCTTGTAGTTTCAGATCGTGAAATCTTAACAACTTCCACCTTTCATTTGGCACATAAGTAGAAATGTCCAGAGTAACCTTTGAATGCCTTTCGTTCCCCAATTTCACGTAGGAGCGATGCTTACAACATCAGGTTCGAACCACAATGAAATACCATACTTAAAAAGCCAATACATCCCAACACCACAAAATGATGTTGGAGCTCTCCCAGATGTCTACATAGAATAACCTCGACATGAACTCGTTGAGGAAGAGCCAAGAACCCCAATTCCTTCACTTCTACCTATAAATTCCCTATTTCTGGGCTTCCTTTTCTCTATCACATACGATAGTTTTTTCAACGACTTTCATTTTTTTATTAATCTTCCTCAACCTTCTCTCGCTTCTATTGTTCTCTAAACAAGGCCCAACATCAGATGGTCGAGTCTCAGACATTTTGTACTCGATGAAGTCATGACTCTTTGATTGGCAGCCGCGTTGTCAGCTTGAGTCCCCTGGGGTCATGGGTTCGAGCGCGCTTGTGTGCATCTGTCTTTGCAGCACGGGATAAGTGGTCATGCATATTAAATGTGGCTGTGGTTGGGGGCTTGTATCTTAGCATCATGCCATTTTTGAAAAAAAATAAAAAATGTACGTGATGAAGCCATGGAAGAGAAACCAGAACTGTTTATGACTGAACTTATAATGATTCCATGTGATTGGATATTTTGTGTTTCATCTAAAAAAACAAATAAAAACGTTCCAAAAAATTATATATTCACATGACTTATTGACTTAAAAAAAACTCCTATGTATCCTTTTTATTCTAAAATTATGTATAAAACAGCTTTTTTGAACGGTTTTGATCCCAAACCACAATCTTTGACTTCATTCTTCCCAAAAAAAAATACATACTTTAGGGGCCTATTCCTCATCCTCACTCCCTGCTTATTTTGTCTCACCCAAGCACAGAATCTCCTTTATGTCCTTTTCCTTCCCATTAAACAAGCATTCAAAGATCCATCTAATCAATATCTGCATACCTTGCCATTGAGCAAAGCTATTCCGGAATTCTAAGCGATGGGTATTACTCATGGCCCCTGCCCTCACCTCCGAACCCCAACCCATGCTCTCATCTTCTTTCTCTACCGCGGCGGCGAGTGACGGCATTGGGAGAGGCGAGGTTGAAGAAAAGAGGAAAAGTCTGCGGGATTGCGGTCGGAGGAAAGCAGAATGATGGGCTCTGGGGTGAATCTTACCACAACGGTGATAGGGTTAGGGATGACCGCTACCTTCATCGTTTTCATCTGCGCACGCCTGTTCTGCCGTCGGAATCGCT